CCCTTTCAGCTGCAGGGGCATTGTAATGTGATAGTCAGTTCCACTATTCGTTGATAAAATTGCAGCTCAAGAGTTGGTGGTGGGTGGTGTTAACTAGCTGTCTTCCCTCTAGTTTATCACTGCTAAATTAGGGATGGCTAGCTCATATGGCCTTTGTGTAGCTTTGTGCAAAGTTTAAAACAAACCAAACCCTGGTGACTAACCTAGTTCCATGAGTAACGAGGGTAAGAGGAACTTAAAATGATTCTCTTGACCAGCTATTTATATTAACCACAAAAGGTTCCAAGTATACAGAAATGTAATTAATGAGGTAAAAAACACATGATAAAGTTATTCAACACATTGCACACAGCTCCAAGAGAGCTGGGTGGACCAAAAACCTTCTGCTCAAGCAGTTCATTGCACTTTCTCAAGTCGTTGGCCTGACCCAACTTTGGCTTTAGTAGTTTCCTGGAGCTCAAGTAGCAACAGCTATAGCCTGCTGTCATCCCTCTTGCACCTGCTGTGCAGTTGGGAAGAACTGGTAGCCATGCCTACCTTGCTGCATGCTGAATATGGACAGTCAATGTTGAAGTGACCCAAGTGCTTGCACTCAAAACAAATTCTGTGGTTCTCCTTTATAGAGCAATGTCCAGGCTGCAGTGCAAACCTCATGGGAAGCTCTGCTCACTCAATGGGGTTGGGTTTAGTGCTGATGTAGTCACTTCAGGAGGGTGGTCTATTTGAGGCTTCTTCCTCTCTTTAAATTTCTTTTAAGTCCTAACTTCAAATCTCATTGTTGTAGAAACTACCTTCTCTTGGTGGGAATTTTTCTCTTACTCAAGTGATTCCTTATCACCTCACCAAGTAGCCCTTCAATAAACTTGTCTATGGGAAAATCCTAACCATCTGCTGAAGTATTTTCAGAGTATGCCTTCACATCAAAATGACATATATACTATTTGTGGGCTGTCAAGCTCTTGGTGCTACCTCTCTCTCTTCATTTTTTTCTGGTTCAAAATGTTGGCAAAACTCCGTTGCTCCATAAAATAGAGAACTGGATCATCCAAACCCAAGATTAAGCACTGCACTGCCTGTTCCTGAGTGCAGCAATTCCAGGTAGTGATCTGTCAGAAATGCTTCAGTAAATGGTACAGGTCCTTTCTAGCCATTCCCTTAAACATCAGGGAGAAGAGATCTATTTAGCCTTACTCATAGAAACCTGTAATACTGGCATAAACCTCTCATTTACAAGCTCACTGCCAACAACAGGCTGAAGTATCTTAAACATTAGAGGTATGGTTAAATAGACATGATCAGGGACCTCTATATTTGGACAAGTATTAGTTCCCTGCTCTTGAGTGACAGAATGGCAAGTTAATATTTGCAGTTTGTCCATTGGCTCTGCACAAACTCAATTTTCTTTGTCCTCACACTTTATCTCCCATCACAGAATTAGGCTCACAACTGCCCCATGGATTACAAACTTGACCATTTAGTGCCTGCTGTCTCACCTTTTGATGAAACAGCTCAGACTGGCAGACATCATCCACCAGCAGCACTTTCTCTTTGGTGGTCTTAACCAAATCGATCAGCACACACAGATGCACCTTGCCTGATACTTGGTTATTAGATACTAAACTGGTCCACACTGCTGCACCCAGTGTTTTGTAGGACTTTCACTTTCTAGTCTCTGATGTAGCTTTCACTAACTGGCATATTGTGGTTAGTTGGCATCTCTCAATGTTTGTCACATGCTCCAATCACTACTGGCATTGTTGATCCACTAACTTGAGCTGACCATCAATCATGCACTGTTTAATCATGTTGATAGCAATTCCTTTTTTGTGGTGATTCTGATGAGTTGTCTTTATTTTGTTTCTTCTGGCAGTGGCATCCATGGTGATAGTCATTCTTTTCTTGTTTCTTGCGTGGACTGTCTTTGTAGATAGTTCCAGCTGCTTTATGTTGAATGTTTTGTGGCTGCTTGTAGGTGACAGACTTGCACTAATTTGCAATGTGCCCCATTTTATAACGAGCATAGCATCTCTTCTCCCTTTTGTCTATTAATCTATTGTCACCTTTAATGGCATCCTGCTTCTGGTCAGTCGCCCATGGTTTCGATTTTAACTGGTTATTCTTGGACTTGCCAGTTACACTTCTTCCATGGGCTTCCGTATACTGTTCTGGGAGCTTGATCATTTCATCCATGTCTTTTGGTGCTCTCTTTCCTTTAGGAACAGTGGCATGTCAGTTGAGCACTCAATCATGAACTGTTCACTATTACTATTGCACGTATTCTTCAGAACTATTTTCACACTTGGCCATTTCAGTCCATCTTGTGAAGTATTGCTGTAGAAATGCCACAAACTGAAATACAGTTTCTTTAGTGTCAGGTTTGACTTCTCCAAATTTCTAGTGAAAAACTTCTTCAGTAAGTTCATAGCATTTCAGCAAGGCCGCTTTTAACTTGTCATAGACCATGGCATCTTCTGATGTCATGCCTGTATACACTTATAGGCCTTTTCCTATGAGAAGGTAGCTGAAACAGACTGCCCAGTCACCTCTGTTGCAGTTCTGACTTTGGGTAAATCTTTCATACCTCTCCAGGAAAGCATCCATGTTGTCTTTCTTTACATCGGATTTCAGCAGTTTGGGTTGGCTGGCCCTGACCCTATTGTCCTTCATCTTTCTGTTGGATGAGCTTGGCAGTTTTAATTTGTGCTCTCTGTTTTAAATCTATCCTTTTCTTCTTTTTCAATTTATACTCTTATTTTCTCCCTCTCTCTCTATATATATATATATATATATCCTTCTCTTCATTCTCAAGTTGTACTCTTATTCTCTCTCTCTCTCTCATGGTCTTGTTGTTAACAAACTCTCATAGATCACCATCTTTGAGCCCAAGTCACTCACCTGTTTTTCTATCCATTTATCAAAGTCAGTCGACATGGTTATGAAGTGTGATTCCACCTTTGACAATATTTTGTCCACTACTACAGCTATGAATATATAGGCCTATTTCTGGCATTGTTCATGTCTTCTTTTACTTTCGTTTACCATTGTATAATCCTGGCTGGTTTGCCAATGTCAGGTTTTATATGGCCACAGTAATTTTTTACAGTAGGTGTCTGTGACTTATTGGCAATAAATTTCAGCAATAAACAAACAGCACACAGTCCACTTGTTTTAAAATAATATATTAAAACAAAGCAAATGTATATACAAATTTTCATAAAACCATTAATTACCATAGTTGAATCGATAGCTTTAAATAATTCTATTTTTCGTCAAAACCCAATTGAAAAACGAATTATACTTCTCTACTCTGTTCTTATAATACAATCTACAATTATTACACTTTAAAGGTTGCCACTATACACACTTTATGACTAAACTCATGATCATCTAATTTATATCTATCTCTTTTTCTTTTCCTTAATATCCTATCACACTTTGTATGCATATTTGTAAATAATGTAACTGAGGCCTAGAACTTTCTATATACTACTAGAAATATGATGCAACAATACTAACTTCAAGCAACAAGAAAAATTCTGAATGTTCAAGTAACATGAGGTCAGTTGATAACAATTGATCTACACAACAAATGATTCATAAACAGTTACATAAGCAAACTTGCCATAACTATTGCTTCTGAAACTAAGTTACTTTCATGTTTGCACTATATAGACTAAATAATATTCTCATATTAAACCTAAAATGAACAGTCGTGTATATCTAACAAAAAGTAGCCCAAGAATTGCTGGTGGGTGGTTTTGACTAACTGCGTTCCCTCTAGTCTATCACTTGTAAATTAGGGATGGCTAGTACAAATAGACCTGAGTAGCTTTGCACAAACTTCCATGAGAAAACACATATGATTTCCCTTGGTGAATGACCCCAATGCAATATGTAACTAGAGCAAAAGGAACTTAGCTACTTCTTTAAAGCTATTTACATTTATATGTACTAAAGTTTTGAAAAATTTACCTTAAATAAGGTTGTAGAAAAGGCATAGAATGCCTGCATATCACAGTAGTATAACATAATTTGAAGGCTACTACTAACAAATATACTTTTGTAATGTAAGAAGATTCACTATATTGAATAATTATTGTATAGGAAAGATTTACCCTAAAATATTAAATTATTTTGTTACTACAACTTTAAAATCCTTTTTAAATTTGATATTTTTTTACCCAGTAATATTTTTGAAACTTACATTACTGTTGGTTTCACATATGCTCATATAACTTGTATAGGGAATGTTTAATCAGATTCAAAAATGGACTTGTATATTTTATAAGCCAACTACATCAGAATAAGTCCAGAAAATACACAGTAATAATGTTCAAGGCATCAGCAACAAATTAGAATAATACAACCAGCAGACACACCAAAAAGGGGGATTCACAGGCTGCTAACCATGGATGGTTATTGTACAGTCAAGTACCTCAAGTCACATTAAATCATATTCACTGCGTGTGAAAGAAAATCCTTTATCCTGTAGTTATACACTATTAAATGATTTTTACCAAAAAAAGAAGGAGAAAGAGAGATACGGATAGAGCTAACAATTTCATGAAATTTAATCTGCATTATATGGAAGAAATATAAAGGGAAGCTTTTGTAGACTTTTGTAATGTAAGGTAAGTTTGTTTTAATTTGCATAAAATTTCCTTATGCTCTTTATTATATTGTCTAGGCAATATTTTAAACATTTTGTTTGTTTTTTTGCAAAATTGAATTGTTAATCTTGTGCAAACAATATTTTATGATATCCTACTGAGAAACACATAAAATGAGGTTTCTATATAATGCAGAAATGTGCAAAGAAATACTAGTAGTTAATAAAATGTTCAACCAAGTTTTTGCTAGGAAAAAAAAATTCTTTAGTGCTAAAGAATATAAAAATAAAACATTCTCTTTCAAAGAACTGTTATAACAAATATAAATCAAATTTATTCATGATATTAAACTGATTGATTTGGATGTTATATATCATTTTCTTGTTTCAGCTTCGAGTTTTCAAACTAGCTAAGTCCTGGCCAACATTGAACCTGTTGATATCAATCATGGGAAAGACAGTAGGAGCTTTAGGAAATTTGACCTTTGTCCTTGGAATCATCATCTTTATATTTGCTGTTATGGGAATGCAGCTGTTTGGGAAGAATTATGATCTAAAAAAACACCTGTAAGGTTTTTCAAAGCTAGTTTGCCACAATGTTTGATTTTTATAGTTTTAATTTTACTACTATCTTAAAAATTTTGAATTATAGGACTTTTTCCATGTAATAAATATTGATTCAAAATTTGTATGTGATTGTTGTAGTTTTGTTTAGAAATGAAAATAGTTTTTCTGGGATAATCTGTTCTATCCATATAGTACATGCTGTGAGATTCCTTGTTTGATTTATACAGAGAGAAAAATATCAGTTATCAGTATTATCAATAACTCTTGATCAAAGCAAGCAAACCTTATAGTTCAGAACTAAAAATCAACTAAGTAAATAATATAGCTATTTTAATATACTTGGCTCACCAGGAGTGTGCAGTGTCTTAAAACGTACAGTAATTAGAAGGTATTGATTCATCTGTTGGGTTCCCTTGCTGTTACTTTCAGCTTTAAAGTTTGTTGTAGCATCAAATTTATATTATGGAACAATTTGTAGTTTATATTTAATATCAACTAACATGTAAGTGAATAAAACATGAATAAATATAGAAATTAATAAAAATTATAATTACCATATTTGATAAGTATTATAGTAGGTTTGGTAAGATAACAATTATATTTAATGGAACTGTGTGTTTTGGCTATGATTGTTATAAAATATGAATGAACTGATAAAAAATGCTTTTGTTACAGCTATATATCAGATCAAATAGTATTCTTGGATGATTTATTGACTACTTTTAAATTTTTTTATTTTTAAATGTTTGATATGTTTGAAGAAATGTTTCTTTAGAAAACAAAAATTGCAGGTTTCCTAATCAGGAAGTCCCTCGCTGGAACTTCCGAGACTTCATGCACTCCTTCATGATCGTCTTCAGAGTATTATGTGGAGAGTGGATTGAATCCATGTGGGATTGTATCCTGGTTTCAGGCTGGCCTTGTATTCCTTTCTTTTTGGCAACTGTTGTTATTGGCAACCTTGTGGTAAATATACAAGCAGTCTACCTACAGTTATTGAATTATTATTGTATTTGAATTATGAGCAAATTTCGAATTGGATTGGAATAAATGGACTTGCAGTTTCAAAAGTATTTTTGTTGCCAATGGTTGTCTTTTCAAAACAGCTTTTTATTCAATGATAACTAGGCTTTCTTGAATTCTTTACAACATTTCATTTCTAGCTGACCTGAATATTCTGAAATGGTGCTACATCCTCTCACCCAAATCTATATCTACCTTGATTTGTCCACTAAGGACTGTTAAAAAATTTTGAACAGTGCACCAGTCTTTTATACCTCTTCATTTTTTGCTTCATTGCAGCAACATGTGCTGATCATGAGACTACCCTCTACCAATAATACTGTCATGCAGCACAATCCTCACTTTCACGATTGGCACTACAGTGTTTAGATGTATGCTTACTTTGTTCATCAATCAAAATGTCACTAGTCCCCAGCACAACAGGTTGACAATGTCTGCCAAAGACATTTGTTCAAGCTTTAATCTGTAGGGAGTTGGATGCTTTGGCTGGTTCTTTGGTTCATTCTTCTTTTCCCCCATAAACATGTTTGTGACAAAGTTTTATCATGGTGAGGGACAATTTTCACTCAGTCTTTCTGGCCCCCAGATTTTTTCTGCCAGTCACATAATGCTGATTGTCAGGAGAGTTTGCCAACCACACCTTTTCTACAGCTTATTGATCAGATATGTAAAATTTTACATGTTTTGCCTTTAGCCCTAGATTCTTCTCCTTATTCTTTGTTAAGTGATGATCCATGTCCTGATTATTATTTTTTTCCATCTTCACCAGACATTTTTGTTCATGCTTGACATTTTGCTGATCATTTGCAGTCATCTGAGGGTATGCTCTTTTCCCTTAGCTGTTAAATCAGTATTCTTTCACTTACCAGTGTGCCTCAAACCCCTATTTGGATTCACAATGTTTGGATCCTTTCCTTTTATTGTGGGACGTGAATCCTGATGCTTTGATTCATTTTAATGGGTCCCAGTTTTCTAGGATTCCCCCTTATTTTGACCACCCTTTTACATGTTATTTCCTCATTAATTATTATCTTAAACCTTCCACTAGTCTCCTGATCAAGTCCCAACAGAACTCAAAACCCTCCTGTTGGCTAACACGGCCCATTTGTTGGCTTTGTTGCTGTCTTTCACCACTTAGATCTTATACTGTTGGAATTTGTTGGGGTATGATGCATTACTTGCGTGGGTGCATCTCCCCTTTCTTCTTTCAGGGATCTTTGCCTTTGGGGGTCGTCCAGAGTCAATGTGGCAAGGCTACATTCCTCTTTGTCCTACTGTTGCTGCTCCATCTTCACCTGTTAGGGTTCCCTGTACCCCCTTTTCCTTTCCCTGTCCCTTACCGTACTCCAGGCATTCCCTTGCTTATGCTCCTTCTTCCCGTTCCTACAGGGGTCAGTGTCATCGGTGAGGGGATATCTTTTCAATGGCAGGTAGAGGCCAGGTTATAGTTATTTTCAACTGTCTGGGAACTATTCACGACAGATCCATGGGTTTTATTGGTTCTGTCAGAGGGTCTTTGCCTTCAGTTCTGGTCCCCTCCCCTCTATCTTCTATCCCAGTTTCCCTTTCTCCTCCTTGTGATTGTGCCTCATCCAGTCATCTTGCAGAGTTGGGTCGAGGCCTTCTTCACAAAGGAGCTATTGAATGGTTGGTCCCAATTCTTCCAGGATTTTACTCCCGAGTTTGTTGTCCCCCAAAAGATGGGAGATTGGAGACCCATCATCAATCTGTTCTGGCTGAATACCTTCCTGGAAACACCCAAATTCACCATGGAGTTCTACCTCTCCCCAGGTCTTAGGATGACGAAATTGGATGTGACAGATGCTTATTTTCATACTCCCATTGTCCAGAGTCATGTAATTAAGCTCTCATCCTGGAAGCTCTCATTCTCTTTGGTCAAGCACACATTCCCTTCAATGGATGCTTCTCTTTCGGTGGAACTTTTCACACAATCCCTTGGACCATCCTATCACCCTTCCAGCAGGGATCAAGGCAGACTTTGTTTGGTCGCTCAACAGGGCTCTTATCATAGTAGTGATTCCACTTCCTCTGTCTCATCCCTACTCGAATCTGTTCATCGATGCTTCATTGGTGAGTTGGGGGCTTCCCTCAACTTTTGGGAGATTTCAGGTTAGTGGTTCATCGAGGAAACTACTTTTCATATCAACTTCCTGGTACTTTTGGCAGTTCATTGGGGTCTCAATCATTTCGTGCTGTTCTTGTGGGGACAGGTGTTTATGGTTCACTCTGACAATTCCACTGCTGTCAGTTATATCACTAAACAAGGGAGAACCAAGTCCATGTGTTTCTATTTACAAACACTTGATTTGCTGTATTTTGCCCATGACTACAACATAATGATCTTAGCAAGTCATGTTCCTGGGATTTTGAATCTCTTTGCAGACTTCCTGTCCTGTTCCAACCAAGTTCTTCTTATGCAGTTGTCCCTTCATCCTCAGGTTTTTCAGTGGGTGTGTTCTTGCCTAGGAACCCCACTGGAATGCCAGACTTTCTTCTTTTTGGTCTCCTGTACCACACCGCTCAGCTCTGGGGGGTGGATGCATTCAGTCAGGATTGGGGGGATCTTCATCTGTTTGCCTACCCTCCAATCAGACTCATCTTCAGCATAGTTTCCCTCATCCAGACCATTGTCGTGTATTGTTTATTGCTGCATATTGGTCTTCTCAGTTGTAGTTTCCTCTACTCTGGCCCTAACTAGAGCACCAACCCCTGCACTTATCTCAGTCCAAGTCACTC